AGTTGATGAGGATCTATGGGCGAGTGTCAGGCAATATCGAGCTATATCGAATCTGCTAAGGGCTAAAATGAGTCTGGCGATGATTTCACTCGGGGAAACGGAACTGAGCAAAGAATAAGGTCGCCTTGAGAGACGCCGTTACTTCGAGATCCAGCGCCAGCCTTCAGACGACACAAATAATTGCACGGGACGATGTTACCCAGTTGGAACATTGTGATGCAGTATTCCGAAGACGTCACGTCGATTTTCAAGACGTTCGTACGGAAAGATATACGCGATAGAGGTGAGAAGCTTCGAAGAGACAACGAAAGAAAATTAAAGAGCAAGGGGAAGTGAGACTGAATATTGGTGACTTGGCAGTCAAATTTACTTTGATGTCTATTAAATTATTACAATGCAGAGTAAACTCATGTGTTTTTGTACTGATTCCTACTTACATACTTACCCGTATTTAATTGTTTGCTTTGATTGTGTCAAATTGGTGAGCCATTCCACTCTTGCAAATAAAAAACATCGGGACCGATTGGTCACCTGAGTTCGCATGTGGTTCAACCACACACACACATTCACCAAAACTTGGGACTCACTCATCCACCCCACCACCACTCGTCACTGTCATTCACAGCGCTCCTCCCATGCAGTGCATCTCCGGGTGCCAGAGCAAGAGAACAACTGCTCAGTAAGAAAACGACTGCGGAACAAAGGGCGATGTTCAGCAAACAATGCAGAGAAGAGACGCCGCGGAGACGCTTTAAATGTGCTGGAGCCGTCTCTTGTTTGGCCTTCCCAGTTGAGTTATTCGTCTTGCCAAAGTGAAAATAACGTCACGTTCAAATTCACCGTGGGCACACACAATAGGTACACACAACAGGTAAACACAACAGGTACACACAACAGGTACACACAATAGGTACACACAATAGGTACACGCAACAGGTACACACAATAGGTACACACAGTAGGTACACACAACAGGTACACACAACAGGTACACACAACAGGTACACACAGTAGGTACACACAACAGGTACACACAGTAGGTACACACAACAGGTAAACACAACAGGTACACACAACAGGTACACACAATAGGTAACATACAATAGGTAAACACAAGAGGTACACACAACAGGTACACACAATAGGTACACATAACAGGTACACACAACAGGTACACACAACAGGTACACACAGTAGGTAAACACAACAGGTACACACAATAGGTACACACAACAGGTACACATAACAGGTACACACAACAGGTAAACACAACAGGTACACACAACAGGTACACACAACAGGTACACACAATAGGTACACACAATAGGTACACGCAACAGGTGCACACAGTAGGTACACGCGATAGGCAGCGCTTCATGTCGTGGTCAAAATCCCACGAGACGGGAACGAGTTCCCCACAGCATCTCCCCACCCCCCGCCAAGTGCCGACCGACTTGCTCTGTGGGCTGTGGTCGCCCCGAATGAGATGAACTCGGAGGGCGATTGTCTCCCGCTCGGGAGATGGAGACGAATCGCGCGGGGCGCCGCTCGGCCAAGCTGCCTCCCTTGGGTTGCCCCGTGGCGACTGTCAGCCGCAACGTTCGCAGCGATAGTCATTGCCGCTTTTTTTTTAAAGCCGTAAGATTTGCAAAACTAGAAGAAAATCTATTCGCTTTATCTTAATTACGAGGATAATTGTATTGATTGAATTTGTAATGGGCCACATGCTGCCTAAATAATCCCATCGGTTAAATACAAGGTAGATGCTGTTGTTGGTTTTCAATTGGAAGAATTTCAATATTCACCATTGGAACCTCATTTTCCAGTAAAAAAAATATGATAATTGTTTTTTTACCCTTCTATCTGGCAACAAAGCTGACACCTTTTTTACAAGGAGTCATGTTTGCATAGACCACAATACCTGCAGTCATAATGCAAACAAAAAGCATAACTCTGATAATGTATGCACTGTCCTTGAAGTTGATTGGTCCACACCCGAGACAGCTTTCCTTAGCCTAGTATCACATGGGTTGGACCAGATGACGCCAAAAGGCGCACAAGTAAAAAAAAATGCACCATCAGAGTATGAGAGCTCGGGGTAAGCATGTGAGACTAGGCTCTAAGGAAAGCTGTCTCGGGTGTGGACTAATCAACTTCAAGGACAGTGCATACATTATCAGAGTTATGTTTTTTTGCATTATGACTGCAGGTATTGTGGTCTATGCAAACATGACTCCTTGCAAAAAAAAGTGTCAGTTTTGTTGCCAGATAGAAGGGTAAAAAAACAATTATCAATTTCAATATTGTCGAGAATTAAGGAACGCATGCAATGACAAAACATTCTAGAAATGTCGCTGGTTTTGAATGTCACGATGTTGATGTAGTAACTCTGCGGTTCACAGCTGAAGCTGACGTGGCACCACAGATCAACATCGTGCGTGTTGCCCGCGGTGGGGTGAGTTTGCGAACAGCATCGGCCGTCTTCCCCCTCTTCCTGGCTCTCTATAATTGTCTTTGACATCGTATGAACGTACACGGTGTTGGTGGGAGATTAAAAACTAAAATGTGGCGTAAGCCTGTCTGCACGCGTTTGCGTGACACCTTGTGCACGCGTGCAAAGCAGATGTTTCAGCTCAAGAGATTTTCCAGGTGAAATATACGAAGAAATTAAGTTAATATATATTTTAAAAAAGAATCGTATATGCTGTTGTTGATGCTACACATACACACGTCAAATCCTTTTAAAATCACTTCAACAGAGAAATGCATGTTGGCATTGACGTTCCAACTGTAGCCTGCACACCTGCCAGGGCCTGTCACACACCATCACTTACGCATCATGTCCCTTCCTTCCACATGACGATGAGAATATTACATAAGCGGCCTCAAAACACAGAACCATACGGCCAAACACAATGACGCCCTGCATGGCGGCCAGTCAATCCTTCTTGAAGATGCATTCCTTGGCAGCAACGCGTAGCTAATTTGATCATGTCGAGTACAATGTAAGCATTTCACTCAGAAACCTGTTTATCAATATCGGTAGTATAGGAAAGTGCTCAGCAATAACATCAGCGATTCAACTGTCCATCCAACGTTGCGATGAGAATGCTGCGTTATAACTGAGATTCGTTGGAATATTTCGTATATATATTTATTTTAAGATTTATTTTCGAATAACTGTTCAACCAATTGGTGAGCATTTTGAGTTTCGGACATTGAGGTTTACAAATGTCGAGGTGGAGCACTGCAAATGCGTTCTCGCTCCACTGCTGGTAGAAGCGCCTCCACTCCAGATGACTTCTGAGCGCCAATCTGGAGGGTGTTTGGCCTACTCTTCCACCTTGGCCAGACATCTTGAAAGAGATGGGAACAAATCCATTTTACACCACAAGCGACTTGCCGATCGGCCGTTATTGTAATAGAACGTTAAAGTTGTGATCAGAAAACAGCAGATGCAAACATGACAAAGACTCTAGCCTTTCTTCATGCCGTCGTGTGGTGCTCTAAATGATGTTGTTAACTCGTCACAAAAAAGGTAATTGGCATTGGCCAAACATCCCAATGCGTAATATTTACCCGCACATCACTCAAGTGGGATAACGCAGCAGCAGGCGAACACATCTCTCTCTGCTGCCAAACCTTGGCACGACCCTTCTGAAAAGAGTAGAGACTCAGTGAGGATGTATTGGGTAAACAAGCGTGAGCTTAATCATAACAACAATGTTACAACCTGAAGCTCTGCTGCCCTCTCGCTGTAGGCTTGCGTATTTAAAATATATTTTGTAACCTCTCACAATTCGAGGCTTCTTCCCCCAATCTATAAAATATGGCCATCACAACATGCGCGAAAATATCTAAGCAAGGAATTCAATTAAATTGTGAGAAGTCATTGCTTTAGTTATCAAGTAGTGTTTTTTTTATTCAGTCCTGAAGGAATGGTCTATCATTGACAATAGATGATAGATTACCAAACGCTCAGGGCTCTTCTTAGGAACCGTCAAGGACTGTAACCAGTGCAAACCTTCAGTTGGAACAGTCCGGGCCGATGTTTCTGGATTTATTTTGGCACCAGGTCGTCCCCGATATCCCGATTCATAACATTATGGGAACGTAGCGAACACATAATCTAGGATTGCTGTATTACAGATGGACATTCCTTGTGCAGTACTCTCGTGGTAGTGCCTTACGCCAACAATCCGTACTCCAAGCTAGCCTGGCAGCGTACGGAAAAATATTGAGCGATTTAAATTGGAGCTGTCCAACCGCACTTACTCATGTATGTATGTATGTTGAGCGTCTTTCGCACTATACGTAGCCAACCGTGCTAATCAGAGGTGCGGGGGTAGGACAACAAACTAAACACAAAATGCAGTTCTAAAGAAATGAAATTGAAATGTAACGCCAATCCACTGCGAGTGTGTCTAGTCTGATGCAAAACGGATAAACTGTTGTGCGTTATGCATCGTAACAGCCACATATGGTAGCTATGTGTAGGCGCAGCCCTGCAGCATCTCGCTCACGCCACTGCTGCTGGAAGGGCCTCCAGTCGGGGCAGCTCCAGAGGGTTCCATCTCGAGACAATCTAAATCCGTAATGGTTGCTTAGTGGCGTGGTGTACAGCAAAGGGCAGTGTAACAAACGACACTGCTATAGAGTCCTCGACTCACATCCTCCGTCTATGCTCCCCGCAAACCCGCACTGACCAGCGTGGTCAAGGATGATCAAACAACCCAAACACAAAACCGTACATGGACATGCTTAGGAGGCATACAAATTAATAAACAAAGAACCGCAACACTTGTTCAATAACAATGTTTCAACATATTCTTTGGGTCTTTCGATAATGTCACGTAGACAGGTTAAAAGAAAATAACAAAAAATCTCCGTCATGCTGATGACGACCGCTTGTGTTGCGATCGAAACATCTGTCTTTCGTGACTTTAGCGAAAGACCCAAAGAATATGAATTCCTGCAGCCACGAAAGCTTTAAGTCAAGATTATTTCAACATGTTTTATTCTCAACTGCGTACAACACAGACGTCCGTTTACGGCTTCGTTCGTCAAGCTAGTAAGACCACAATCACATTACAGGTGCAGAAGCACATCCTCGTCTACAATCTAAAACAGTTGCAATGCATCTATCGCTACCACGCGCACGACAGAAGCACTATGCATGCTAAGTGCAGGACCGCATCTCTAACAGCTTAGGCATTTGTGCTCTTACGTGATTTCGTATACCACAAGGATATGTAATATACCTTATGAATACTTGAGGCGATGTGGCTCAGTGTGAATTACAGCAGTGGCACTGACATCGATCCCATTATTGACCTAGACATAGGGGCACCACGAAAGCGATACAAAGACTCCCTGAAGAAGTCCCTCACTGCTTGCTGCATCGATCACCGTCAGTGGGCAACACAAGCAGCTGATCGCAACTCCTGGCGGCACACAGTCCACCAAGCCACCTCCTTCTTCGAAGATACCCGCAGGGCCCGTATGGAGGACAAAAGGAGGAGGAAGAACCATGATCCCTCAGCACCCATCCCAGATGAGACCTATACTTGCAGCTGTTGTGGCAGGACCTGCTTGTCCCGCATAGGCCTCTTCAGCCACCAGCGTGCCTGCAGAAGACGTGGATGTCCTTCCTAGATCTTCGTTCGCGAAGCCAAGCCATGATGATGATGATGATGACTTGAGGCGATGTGGCTCAGTGTGAATTACAGCAGTGGCACTGACATCGATCCCATTATTGACCTAGAGAGGCATTGGCAAGGTGTGGTTGGGTCTAGTGCCACGGTGGCGTCTGATGCAACGCCCGAATCCACCGCTAGAGGAGGCTAGGGTGTCGTTGTGTTGGTCACCGACTATTCACGCGTTAAGGTCTTAAGCATCTGTGCACAGGCATATACAGTTTTATTTGTGTGTACTCGTGGGTGCCTGTTGCAAAATATATTTATTTGTAAACGTGCCTTTGAAAAATAAATGGTATAACTCAACTGCATCCTACGCACACACGTGTAGGGAGTAAGTAAGGCGATCCACTTTGAACTTCTAATATCAAAACTGAGACCGCCGCATGAAATCAGCTCCACTATTGTACTGAGGTCACGACTGCCTTGCCGCAAATTTGGCTGACATTAAAATAGAATTGTTTGTTACAACGAACATAAACACACGTGTCTCGGTTGGCAGTGATGTACAGAAATCAGGAAAACAAACCCTTTCAAACATCTTCATCAGCAGTGACTTTAAACAGACATGTAGTCGTGTATGGGTCATCACCTGTACTGACTTTCCCAAGGTAATCATACTGGCAAATCTGTCATGTGTAAGTTTTCTGCGGGCATTAGACGTGCCGGTATGTGGCAGTTGGGTAGTAATACAGCAGTAATAGTAACACTGAATACCACTTAATACAATGCATGTCCAGGCAGCTCTCCCCTCGTTGGCTCCTTGATATTCATTTCCCCATCATGTTCCAAGTTTTTTATTGACGAGGCAACCCCATTTACAGGCATGCGAATTTTCCACGTGCTCTGTAAAAAGAGGCATTTCCGCGATACAGCCGACCTATGTTCATGTTGTAAAGTGGCAAGACAAACAAGACATGTTCTTGCCTGCACGCTGCACTGAAACCCGGGAATCGAGGAGTCTACGTTACTTGATCTGGTCTCCGCTCGATGCCACGTGGTGGTCATGCCGCTTGGCAGACGCGGTGGACAACATTCGACCGGGAAGATCGCCACCCTGTGGGTCCCTCTTCCCGGCGGAGCCGAGCGGCTTGCGAGCAGCGCGAGGAACAACAGCGACGTCAGTGGAGGACGGGCCACGGCCTCGTCCCAAGATGTGTCGAGTTGCACTCTGGCTTTTGTCGGGTACAATTGGCTCCCGAATTGAAAGCTTTCAGGAGTTCCCACGTTTCGAAGCATGTAGTGTGGTGTGAGCTTTTTTTTAATAACCCAAATGCGTAATCTCTCTATGAAAGCTTGAAAATACTACCCAATCGCAATTCCAAAGTTAATACGAGTACTGTTATACTGTACTGGATGTGCAAAGCACTAATCGTTCCCTTTATAAGACCATCATGTCTAGCATATTGCAAGTTTACTCAAGTGTATCCATGCTTAATAATGAGCTTTTAGTCTTCAGTGATCATGCTGCAATCTACAAATCCTTAATCGTCTGCAAGCGATATATGGACAGGCATAACTGCATCGAGCTAAATCCTCCAGAACACAGATCTCTCCTGTGCCAACCGCCCCGAACACCGCTCCCGAGGTCCTCCCATCCTCACCACCCCAGCAGAGTTGCCCCACTCATGCCAGCCGCAGCCAACACTCACACACAATGGTGGAGGAATGCACGCAGCCGGGTACAGAGTGGCAGGCGGATATCAAATTTCGGCCAGCGCAGCCCGCTGACAATCACGGGGGTGACTCAGTATTCCTCCAGCATGTCAACTTCATCTCGCGAGGCCAATCGCAGGCCATCGATGGCAAAGCCGGGAATCGCACCGAGATCGTGAAGAGCCCAGTGCGACACCGCGACGCAGCCAGCAGGCGGCGCGGGCGAGTGCGCCACCACCACAACACGAAATGATTGATGCTCGGTACAAAACTCTCAAAAGGATAACGCCCCAATGGTCGCACATCTAAAATGTAGCAGAGCATGCTCTGCTATGCACACGGGACTAAACAAAGCCGACAACAACGCGTTAAAATCATCACAGTAGTTGTGCGTAAACAACGCAACAAGCAAATGGACAGCTGGCGTTTTTCCAAATCGCGCTTTGCATGATGCATGAATGTGCAAGGTTGTTTGTAGTTCGTCAAACAAAAAAAACTCCACTTTGTTTCAACGTTTTGCCAAAACGACTCATCAGCTGTTCTTTGCGATTCTGTAGAGTAAGAGCTGACTATTGTGTTTAACAGTACACAAAGGCAATGATTAGCATACCATTTTAAAGTGTAAAGCATGTATATGCTTCAGCTGACAAACCGCATGGCTGCTGGCACAAATTGTACGATTGCAGTGATGTCGATGGTGGCCTAGAAGGAAAAAAACCGGACTGCCAGTTTAAGACTTTTGATTATTCTACCACGATGGTTACATATTTTATACGATTATAACTATTTTGATTGATACATTAATCGTGAATCTTGAACACACCATCTCGCCTTTGATATGCATGAACGAATTAAATTACCATGACCTAATAATTTCTCCATCATGTGCAGCAATTTGGTTTGTAAGCTTAAAATGGGTTTGACAGCACTCTCTCCCCACGACAGTGTACATCATGTATGCCAGCTCGCTCACCAAGGAGCTGCTTGTAACTTCTTTCGCACTGTACGTAGCCAACCGTGCTTGGTGTAAAAGAACCACGTACCAGGGCTGCAATGAACACGAATGGCGACATCGTGACCGGCGACTTTCGCCAACTGTGGCCTACGGCGAGACATTATGGGGGAAGTGTCGCATTCAAAGGGGGCTGATTCAGATCAGCGCTACAGTCCGGGGATCACTTTACGACCAAAATCAAATCCCTCCCATTCCCTTCCCGAGCTACTGATAGGGCATTGCCCAAATTCGCGAGCGCTCTCCGTGCGCATCCCAGCGGAAGCTGCATTCGCCAAACGCCTCCATCCGATAGCGCTGCCTCTGTGCTCGATGCAAACTGAGAACATCCCAAAAACCCACCCTCGTCTAAGCAATACGATTTTAAATCCTCCCGATTCCCATTCAGTATTCAGAAAAATCTATCGGTGGAAAGGATGAGCAATGCACGTGTTTGTTTTTTCCCAAGTAAGGTTCAATTCCATTGAATTTTCACTTGCGCATCTGTGAATAAGAATATGAAACGTTTACATTCTTAAAAGCGAGCATTTATGATAAGAACCTTTCTGTGGCCTAACAATTTTAGTTGCTCGTTTTTTTTGCCAGCTGTCAGAAATTAAATAAAAGTGATTTCAGGCAGTGCTCATCTCTCGTCTACAACCCTGACCCAGTTGTGGAAATTACACATTCCCATGGCAGGGGTGAGTCTCTGCACGGGACTTATGTTATCGACCCTGGTGGGATGATGGGCTGAGCCAATTCCAACTGTGAGCCGCTGGCTCCGACGCTAAGCTGCCTGGCCAGCCTCTGCTCGCTGTAGATGTATAGATATGTACACAAGAATATCAACCATTACCATTGCAGATCATTTCCTTAAATAATCATGGCACTAAACACGTAGTCGTTAGCGCAAAGAATGACCTCGCGACCATCTGTATGACACTGCAGGTGAGAGTTTTACACCGATGGATAATCGTACGTCTCAGCTGTGGAAAACCTCAAATTATATTCAATTACACCTGCTTATAAAGCAATGAAGGTTTAGCTTCGATGCAACTATTATAATATATTATATCATTACATAATTGAATCCTATCTGGCATCAGCCTGAGCGTTTTACTTTTTTATTATATTTGCTTTACTTCGTTTAACCTGTTCAGAGTTTAAGTAATTCATGATTAATACGTTTGTGGTAGGAGCAATATTGAATGGCATGTGGTGAAAGAACATCAAATCTCCGCGACCGTGCACGCAGAGCCTGAAGAACTGTCAGCCAGGAGACGTTCCCTTGGCTGCTACAGACCCCCCCACGGCTATCCGGCAATCTCTGAGGCTTCGGTGACAAGCTTGTGACCGTTCCACACGGTCTTGAACTGCTCGGGCACTGGGAATTCTCGCTGTGGGGAAAGAGAGAATGCATTCGACAAGGTTACACTCAAAGAGGGAACTTGCACTCCTATTCTAATAAACATTCAATGTCGTGAACGATATGTAGTGAAAACAAATTGGCTGGCTCGAGACTTGGGAATGTCAGAAAAAAAGCACATTTGTAATTTGAAATAAATCAAGTTCATGAAATAAATGGTCATTGTTTGCCAAGATTAATCAACTGCTGGATGACGGCCTCCGCAAGCCTCCGACACCTCTCACAATCCTGGGATTTAGCACATCCAGCAGAGCACCAGCACGCAAACGTATTTCATCGCTCCATCTCATCAGTATATTAAAAACCACACAACGGTTGGCTTCAGACTTGCTCATTGCAACAAAAACTAACGACACAGACTAACAATGTCTCCCCACCTCCTACGAACGCACCGAAGAGTACAGCAGCGAGAGAAAGGAGCCGCTGCGACCGGCACGCTATTCCTCACGACGGGCAGACTCACGTAATCGTCGTGGTCAGGGACGAGGATGTTCATCTCGGAGGACTTGGCGCTCACGATCTCGCAGTCCAGGGACTGGGGGCTCAGGAACACCTGGCAGCCGTCCGTCTTGTTGATGGAAATGGTCGGGACCTTCCCCTCCACCTGTCGTACGGCGCGGGGGGGGAGGGTCATCGTCAAGGCTGAAGCGGAGTGCTCGCGAGGGTGACACGAGCGTGACACGCGACGCGCGGGGCGCTCGTGTTCACTTTTCGACTTTAAAAACAGAAACTGAAACATTGTGCATCACGTTCTCGCCACTAATACTTGTCAGTGGCAGATAGTGTGGAGGTCAATAGAAACTATTTGCAAAAAGACTTTGAAAAAGTCAACAAATTTCAGTTTAACGCTTGACAAAGAGATTTAGTATTTCATAGGCAAACACAGTGGAGGATGAATTCGTTGAAATAGTTTTCTTGGACTGCCAATACATACCTATTATTTTCCTTACACATGACTCAAGGGCAAATGTAATCTCAAGTTTGATAAGACTGCACATATTTTAAACAATAGAATATTTATTGCCCAGTAATTTCAACAGACTGCAACTCAAAAGAGTGACAATCACATAACCCTGTGTTTCCAATTCTTACCAAAAGAGATTTTCTGGCTTTCAATTTGAGTGATAACCTAACAGCACAAGCCAATAATACTTTATTGCTGCACCCAATATGATGAAAGCTCGATATATAACGTGTGTAAAACAGCAAAAAAGTGATTCATGCATATTGCACATTGTTCTTGAAATACTCTAAAGTGATTCATTTAGCTGGGAACAAACATTACATTTGAATTCAAGAAAGTGATTACAAATGTGTAGAAATCCACGTGTGATTCCCAGGAGACATGCGAGTACCTGCAGTTGCACACTCTTGCTGTTGATGACCTCTACGATGCCAACCACGTTCTCAAAGACCAACCCCAACCTCTTGCAGTTATCTGCAACAACGAAGCAATGGTAACAAATGACTTCACTGCATGCCCAATGCACACCAAAACATGGTCTTCGATGACAAGAACGCAATATCACGACGAAGCTATCGCTTGGGATAAAGGGAATGAAACAAAATCCATTGTTGTAGTGTACTTCTAAGCTCAACATCTACGCTCGCAACCTTCACCAACCCGTATTGATCAGCGCAGCGAAGTATGGTCAAAGAACCCCCATGACCCACACGGTGTGGGGAGGCCCTCATCCAGCAGTGGAGTGAAAAAATGTCAATCAAAGTGCATGTAAAAAGATGTGACAATACCCCTACAGTATACTCAAGTGCACGTGCCAGCGTTGGTTAAGAGTGTTATCCCCCTAGTTCGTTTTCACGTGCTGCATTGGTCTGTTCAGTAGCTCACCGATGATGATGGAGTTGATTTTGCCTTTGATCTGCAACATGCTGTTCACACACTGGAAGACGTACACCACCTGCTTGAGCTCCGTGTCCTCGATCAGGAGACCCTCGGCATTCTCCTGGTACTCCTGGAAAACCGCACCCGACGCTCTCGGTAAATCGCCGTTACATACGGGCACGTTAAAATGATAGATAGAAGCTGATAGCAGCATATCAAGAGCTTGCGACATAACATGTTAGAATCACCGTTGTGTTACATTGGGGCCGGATGCGGCTACTGGCAGAGCGTTCGACTCGCAATCGGTCACGAGATTAGGAGTTCAAATCCCCGGTCAGAGGTTAACTCAACCACTCGGCAAAACAAATCCACTTTCTGGGAGGTCAACAGCGGAGGTGCGTGTCTGGTCCCTCCCACAGGAATGTGGAATTTCCACCACTGACTACTGCTAAGTTAGGTCGACAGGCAGAGAGGAGCGATAACCAATGCTCACCAGAGCCAAGGGGAGACGTTTCACATCAACTCCTCTCCGTTGTGCGGACAAACCGACGGCTGTAGGAATCGAGTGGCACGGGGGTGCGGCGGTCGTGACGACTCACCACTCTCCACTTCTTGCCTTCTAACTTCGAGCACGGGCTGCTGCTGTTTCCGAGCGGCGAGCGCCCTGTGGGGCGACGACTGTGGACTGTCCCCCCGGCTCACGCTGCCCTGCGCACGGAGGCCTGGGTTCTTGTGGGTCTTCACTTTGTCCGACACGTGCTTCAACGCTGAGAGACGGGCGAGAGTTTCAACCAAGTCAGGCTTCGTCGTCGTCGTTGTTATTATAATAACGATTGCTGTGATTATGGTTGTTAACACAGTCTGTCCTCGTTCCACACTAGCTACAACTGGCAGCAACGTTTGAAAAGTCAAAATGGTTCAATATTTAAGTGATGAAAACTCAATTCATGCCTGTGTGCCAATAATCACAGGCAACAGGTAAATGTGAACAGTTATTAAACACGCGAGTGAACAAAACAGCAGCAGTGACACACTTGAGAAAACTGTATTGCATCCGTAGCTTAGTGCGGACAAAACATCATAGAACATTAATATTTAACGACCTGTGGTGTTTATTTAGAGATTCCTATCTGCCCAGGTGGCTGCAGAACCCCATTTGCTGTACTGCCATATCAAGGCCAGCTTGCAGGCCAGCAGCTTTGCGAGTTTCTCAAATGTACGTGATCCACACACCCTTGATTCCACAGTGCTGGATTACTGGCGGGACACCACCACGGCTTGCCACACGTGGGGTAGCGAGCTAAGACGGGCATCACACAATGATGTCCTTCTCACTGCAGACATGTGCAAAAATGACACGTTGCTCCTATTAAGTCCTCGTACTTTCAATGCGGCGGTGGAGACCTTGTACAAATTATCAAAGCGAGAGGCGTTATTTAAAACATTTAAATAGTGACGCACAAAGTATTTTGTTACACGTGGCGAGTACTTTATCCCCTCCCTAGCAACGGTTTAAAGCCTCTATCAAGACGCGATCAAAACTACGGTTGACTTTTCAAACAAGTCATAAAGGGCGCGATGACGAACAGGGATGTGTCAAGTCTGACTGGGCTTAGTGGCAAGACCCACACGCCCACACACATGCGCGAGTGTGTGCATTTTTTTTTACTAAGATGACGAAATATTTTAAAGACCCGCGCTCGCAGTCAACATTCCCGCCAGAAGTCAAAGAACGCGACTACATTGTGCGTGGTGACACACGAGGGCAGCCCCGTTCACGCTGCGTGGCCACAAGCTCGCAAGGGGGCTTCACCCACAGAGTCGTGTCATACTTTCATCAAACACAAGTCAAACATTACTCGGAATAAAACAGTGATGCTCTAATTTCATCGTAACTTTTTTTTAAACTAGTTTTATGCATAAAAGAAAAACAGAAGATTTTTAAAAATAATCTTTAATTGACTGTCAAAAGGACACAAGACAAAAGTGATTTCCTAATTTAACACGTTGGTTCTCGTGACCAGGATTCGTAATTGTGTGTTTGGGTAAGATCACTTGAGTCTCACGCCAAATGGTGTCATATGCCCTCCGCCACCCAACATGGCCAAAAGTTGTCACGTGAACAGAACATTACTTCATTGGTCCCAGCCAAGCATGTTAAAAGGAAGTGAATGTGAGTGTGATGATATAAGTTGTCATTATCAATAGTCCCTCATTATTAGTTCATATGTTAGCATGACAGAAATTTATAACTTATTGTTACATGAACCTTAACATGTGATAAACAACTACAGGACCATGAAAATGTCTTTTTAAGCACACACATTCTCCCTTATACACACCACAGGTGCAATTATATAACAAACACGGACATTCAGAAATGACCTTACCTTGCTGTGCATTATGCCTGCACCTGTGTAGGCATTAACCCATTTCACAAACATAATAAACCCTAATTGCACAAGCATCAGCATGCCTCCACTATCTCTGCTATCACTTCGGCACACAATCAACAAAGGTAATATTTTAATTTTAGTGATCAGCAAATGTTCCGCGGTTGTGGCAAATTGACCTTGGAAAGTGATTGGTGTGTTGTAAGAGAAGTCAGCCATCACCAGATTTCCCAAAAGAACGATGTTTTGTTATATTGTTGACTTTGGTCTTTTAGGATTGACTCAATAATACTGTAAAATGAATACAAATTGATGATTTATCAATGCTTATGCGATATGCCTTGACTATGTACGTTATATGAGTCTCAGAAACCTGCATGTACATAAATGTGAGGAAGAAACTGCATGGTAATATACCAATAAAACTCTCCAGACTGTGCACGTTGTATCTGTACGCAAAAGGGAACGGATTATGTTGGAGTCAAAGACAACTGCTTGCCACAATCATCGCTGCGAATATTACATTATCATATCGGTGTTCATGGGACAACCGCGAACGTTGACAAAACAAAGAAGGCATGTCAGCGGTGAGCAATTTCACGGACACTTTTATCGTGTTTAAGTGTTTGTAAAGGGAGCAGCGCTGGAGCAGGTGTTGGGCGAACTGCACTCTAAACCCCGCGACCTACGTTTGATTTCCAGTCACTGAGACATCCCAGCATCGAGGCTCAGAGAGTCAGGCAGAACATCACTAACACACTTGGGGTACCCTCCTGGCAAGAGACGAAACTCCCTCGAGGATTCTAAGGATTCAGCGGTAATTCTGCGGCTCAGAGTCAGACTGACGTGATGATGATAGTAGTAGGTTTTTACCCTTTAAACTGGTACAAAACTGACACCTTTATACAAGGCATCATGTTTGCAATAACCGCAACACAAGCAGTCAAAATGCAAACAAAAAGAAACAACTCTGATAATGGTAATGATATGCACTGTCCTTGAGTTGATTTGTCCACACCCGAGACAGCTTTCCTTAGAGCCTAGTCTCCATTGGTGTTAGACCAATCAACTTCAAGGACAGTGCATATCATTACCATTATCAGAGTTGTTTCTTTTTGTTTGCATTTTGACTGCTTGTGTTGCGGTTATTGCAAACATGATGCCTTGTATAAAGGTGTCAGTTTTGTACCAGTTTAAAGGGTAAAAACCTACTACTATATTTTGCCACTGGTAAAGGAGGTCTCATAATGTGATGATGATGATAATGATGATGAACGTCCTCAGGGTTCCGTGTTAATGGCCGGGACCCACGGGTGACGCGTCGCCGGAGGCTGACGGGCGATCAGCTGTGCAAGGTGGAAGCGATACCTCTGGCAATCCCCTCGCCCTGGTTGATCTCGGCAAAGAGCGCCGAGCGGTCTCCCGTCGCGCTGTCCTGCCTCGCCAGGGACGGCAGCAGAGGGGGCGGGGGACCCGGGGGTGGAGGGGGAGGAGGGGGAGGAGGAGGCGTCGAGAGTGCACCTGAGGTTGCCTCTTTTGCTTTTGGGTTCTGCAAGAGAGAAGAGAGGGAACATGCGGATTGCCTGCTGTGGGTTCACTACAGGCTACGTGGCCTACCAGGCCGCTGTAATGCATCACCGATATTACATTTCAGTGGACCGTTTGTATACAAAATGTGCAGCATTGTTGTTACTGCAGTACAAAACCATTTGTTAAGCATAATGCATATTTAATTGTTCTATACGGTGCCAAAAATACTCTATATTTTCTGTGTACAGCATACGGCACAGCTGATCCTGAATAGCAGCACTGTTATTGAAGACAATGCCTGCAGATTTGCATCGTATTAAACCAACACAAACTTACAAAGTACAACTCTCACACAATAAGCCCAGGAAATTATATATATTAAAAAAAAAATTGGCTTTCATGAAAGCCAGGTTTTGTCAAATTACTTGCAATGTACACGTGTCGCTAGGTTTTTCACGAATAATACAGGACTCCCTCAGAGGGAAGCCTAAATAAAGTAACAATATACCTTTAAAAACCCCAAGTCAAAATAGCAGTGACTCTACAGTCATTCACCGTCTACAATTCTACTTTGTTCAAATAATGTTTCTTATACCTGTTTGGGAAACACTACATAACTGCTAAAGTTGTATGAATACAAAGCTAACCTGTGGTAAGAAGACACTGCACTAAATGGAACTTATGAAGTTTCATAATGCACACACGTGCAGAGTTTAGCCCTTTTAAAGCACTATAGAAGGCGTACACACACAAAAAAAACACACACACACTGGCAAACAGCTTAACGGCCAATTCTGGGTCAAAGAACTTCCAGTAGCTTCACGTACGGCCTTGGCAAAAACCACACGTCAGCAATCAATCACGGCGACAGAAAGAGTGGAAGAATAATACACGAAATTGACGGCATGCCGCATCAGCGCTGTAAGGGGGGCAAATCTTTTAATGGGGAAAGGCTGTGACTGTGTCTGAAGTGAAAAGTAATTTTTTTTACTCATTTTGCGAAATGTCACAATTCATTATTTTCAGATAAATGACCGAAGGGTGCATTATTTGCTTAACCCAAGGAGAAAAAAAAAATCTCACGATTATAAGAATACACCGATCACCGTACCTTCCGAGATCAGTTTTGACTAAAATATGTAACATCACGATTAGCAGCATGCACGTTATGTTGCCTTGACTTCCGTTTGTCACAACGCAAATATCGCAGACATGTTCTTGTTTAGCACTAAGTCTCTCTGCATTAAACTACACCTTGAACATGCGGTCACAACGCTGAACATAACCTGCTCCGATAACAGCACGGATGGTACAGCGCAGAGGTTTAGTATTAAGTGCAAGCATCACATTTCAGCGATTTCAAAATTCCAGGTTACCACCCTGCTATTCCAAGAGCTATTATTACCAATGCCCGCACGACATTGCAAGCTGATAGAAAAATGACAGACGTTCAGTATACCGCTATGAAAAGAACTCAAAATAATTTACGACAAATGCCAATGACAAATAGTTTGGGCAAGCGAAGCTGCTGCTTTGTCACGCAAGCTATTTATATGAAAAGCCAAACCACCTTCGCGATGGTTTAATGACTGCGACGCTGGAGGCTGAAGTCGCTACTCAGCTGTTGCGCACGAGGGCCCCTAAGAGCAAGTGCTGAACAGCTGAGAGCCGAAAAAAAAATAATCCGCAACTGATCAACAGCTGTCCTGTCCAAACTGCCAGTTCATCCACAAAAGGGCTGAGCCCTTACACTGAATTCCTTGGTGGCCCTGTACAACGAGACCACAGTGGCAGGCCACCCGCCAGGCAGGTGGCCACTTCAGGGCCTCATGTTGGATGTCAGGGAAAAAAAAGGACATTCACTCTAGTAGGATGAAAACAAAAAATGTGCTGAGAATTTTCGTCGTTTGTGTCTGGAAAAAAAGGAACCTGATTTTATTTTCCTTTGATCTTTAAAACGATCTTTGCAACAGCCAAGCTGGCAGCTGTCTTTATTTTACGTTTAAAAGCAGAAAGCCTGAATAAACGCAGATATTTTATGTGGTGAATGTTCGGTCATTTTCCATGATGAGTTTCTACTTCTTCCAAATTCGAAACGGCAAGTCCGCTGCCTAAAGTGTTTTATGGTTTAGTATTAATTCACCAAATTTTAAAAGCACAATTACTATTTCCCAATTTACACCTTGCCTGCCAAAAACAAATAGAAGTGTGTGTGGTGAATAATTAGACTATTAGAAAAAAACTGGGCATATTTGTAAATAAACTGACAAAATGACCATCAACCAAAAGCATCTCCATATCTTGCCAAATCCCACAAATTTTAATGAAGCTGTCCTTTTTACCAACATGACCCAGGTTGTCTGAAACTGAACCAAATTGTTCATGGCAGGCTATAGGGGGCATGCAAATACAATCAGGGGCTGGCACAAGATGAAGGATAAGAAAGGTACCGAATCTTTCCACTCGACGCCGGTAGTGTGGTACTCTCGTATGTAGGCCTGCAGCTCCTTCCAGATGCCCAGGAATGCTGTCACCCACTCCACGTGCCTCTTGTCACTACCACAAGCAGCGCACACACAGCAAACTGGTGGCATCGATACAACAATATTTCACAGTAGGTTGCCAATACATTTACAAAGCATAAAGTGTACACGAATATGGCACTTACGTTTAGTAAAACAAATCTACATTATGTTATTGGCTATATTATCTTAAAATACATACAATTTCGGTAAATTGCACACAATGTCTGGGTGTACAGTTGACATACCTATACCCGTAATTATATTTCCACTGAACTTTTACCACAAGGAATTAAAATAATGCTGTTGTTACTATGGATGAACTGAATATCATATTCCTTTTTAAATCAGCCTCGGGCTACTTCAGTGGAGACCTGCACGAGTCCAGCTCGCCAAGACAACACGCTCTGCCACGCAGACACGAGGTGAGCCAGGGAGCGAGAGAGCAGTGGCAGAGTTTCTGCTTGTGTTAACTTTGTACAGCGTGCTGTGTGTCGTGTTATTGTTCGGCTTTGAATATGAATTAATGGAAGATTTTTTTTTTATCATTCTATTGTACATCTAAATTCTTAAACATGTAAACTGTAGCTTAATCAACATCTGGAAACATCAGTTTTCAAATGTTCTTTTTGTAGTCATCATGTGACAGGTATCAGTCTCAATCTATCAATCTAGATCTCAAATCTAGAATTAAGTCTCAATCTGTCAATCTCTCTGCGTGCAATGGCTGACAATGTTTCCCATTCAAAGGTAAGCAAGCTGAAGTGCAGGGTGCATATTGGCATCTCAGAACAATGTGTTTTAGGTCAAGCCATGAGGGGCTTGGGAGTGAAATTGGAGCAGACTGATTGCATTGATCGAGCAGCAGTTGTCCCACTGGAGGGCGCTCCAGACAAGAAGACAGCAGAGCTCAACTCCACAGTCCCAATTTGAAATAGATGACCTACAAGCACTCATTTGGAATCTACAGAACAATCATTGCCACCTACTGAGAAAGAAATATGATAGGACCCTCCTAGAAGAAAGTCATGGGTAAATAAACGTACAAATAAGAATAACTTCAACGACTGAACTTTCAAATGAATTAACAAATGCCAATACCATGTTATGAAATGAAGTGCTCGTAAAGACAGAAATTCCAAATTATTATCCTTAGTGATTCTAACAGGAGATTAGAAATTAGATATGCACATTCCGAAAATATAATAAAAAAATTACTTTGCCAAACAGTAAATTTCTCATCTTGATGTTATGCTTGTATTGTCGATTTACTTCTGCGTCGATATTACAAACCACATTTGCATTCGTTTACATGGCAGGCCTGCCTTGCAAGACACTGTTGTCTCAATGAGTTCCCACCATCACCATCAACCGTGATTCATCTACTGTAGGATGTCGACTTCCACAAGGCCTTGCCCAGCTCTGAGCCCCACCATGAGGTCATATATAAAGTTGGTGCACGTACGCAGGCAACAGAAGATGCTCATGTGAGCTGTCAACCCTCATTTACAGTGACAGCAGCAGCTGTGCCGCCGTTCGAGGCGACGCGAGTGTGACGCCGCTACTCACGAGTCGCGATACTCCTTCAGGACGCGGTTTGTGTAAAACATCGCCGCATCATTCATCTCCTTCACGTAAGACGATGGCGTGGGGGCCTGCGGTCAGGGCGTGGAGAAAAGTGGACAAAACAAAAGATAAATAACGCAGTCTGTGGTCGAAAGTGAACATAACGTAAACATGGTGTTGTCTAAGCTGCACCTATGAGGCACACGGTGTTTATGAAACGTAAGCAAGGAACTCGACCATGCGCCCCATCTGCTGATGAAAGCGGACGTCAAACACGTGGGACGTTATTCGTAAGAGTTGAACGCTCGTATAGTAACTCAGCCCAAATAGAACATTTAAAAATGACCCACAATAACAACAAACTACAATTAAAATCCCATCCATTGTTATCCTATTTAATCCCAATGTAGCTTAACCTGTTGGAAGAAACGACACCGATTGTATAACAAACGACATTCATTTTAGGTGCTGCCAGGCCGTCCCGCTCACCATGGTGACCCAGCCGAGTGCAGGAATGCTCTCGCTGACCGCCGACAGGTGGTTGAAGAGCACGCTGCCGCGGTTCCTCTCCCGCAGTCCCTGCACCTCCTGCACCTTCTCCGAGATGGGCTTCAAGAGCTGCATCAGGGCCATCTTGAGCCAGCGAGGGTGACACAAATGTATTCGTTAACGCCGGCACAATCGCATGCAACGACGGAAATTCGTTTAGCAAAATAATAACGCCATCCCCCGAGTTTAATGCACACCACCTCTTCCCCCGCTCCCCAGTCGTGCGCGTGTCATATACACACAACATGACGTGTTCATTGCTTGCGGTGTCAGCGGCATGGCTCAGCTTCTGCAGTGGAAACACAACCCGGCTGTGCGGTAGAAAAGGTGGGCTGTGTGTATTTTTGAGCCGCATTGTGGCGCAGTTCTTGACGCAGAAAATGAGTCCTACACGTTCACCATCCCACAGACTGGGGCACCCCTCAGAGGCTTTGGCGCTGCCGGTTAAGAGGCGCTGATTAGTCTTCTTTTTATATGTAGGCATCTTTACAAATCTGAAATGCAAATCCATCTTAAGAAAAGAAGAGAGTGCTCTTGCATTCTGCAGAAAAAACGTTAACATTATAGTATATTCTTGAACAAAAATAGTCTTGAAAAAAATCTAACATCATAGATGTGAGTGCAGAAATTCGTTGTAATTACATTTTTTTATGTACATGCCTAGACTTGCCCAAGGAGGCCACGCATGGCCATGAAGGCAAAGGCAAGAGGGACAGGTCACCACAATTAGCTTTCAGACTTGGGGAGGGCCTGGCAGACAAAGAGAGTTGATTCTCTGTACCAGGGCTGGCTCAGGAAGGTTATAACAGCTGCCAATCCTGACATCTTGGATTTCAATATGGGTTCAGCCCCGTGTGATTAAACTAGGTTTTAGTTTCTAAGGTGTAGCAAGTTGACCGTCTCAGCTCGGCCATCAATGACTGCAGAATGGTGGCTCAAGTTGGCAAACTCCAGCTCTGAGTGCACGTGGCAATCAGACATTCAAGTCTGATTGCCACGTGATGAACACTTTGCAGGGCGTGCATGGAAATGGGCACCATCTCGTGTGGATAAGAGGCTACAGAAAATCACTTTTAGTGGTTCTGAGGTCATCTTCCCGAGGCGGTTTTCTGATAGCAAGTGATGTTGCTTTGCTCACAGCGAGAGCTTGAAATGGGCAATTCTTTCTCTCTTGACACGACGCTGATAAGACAAAACGCTGTATCTTACAACAGTGCACATGCCCGTGTTTCAAGAGACGCACACACACACAGATCTTCTGGTGCATTTCATTTTGATATTTTCGTAACCTAAGCGTATTTAAAGATTGTCACGGACAACTGTTGGAAAGGTTTAAAGCACTCGGGGTTAATCTCCTGTATTTTTGTCACAGGTTGATAGAAAAGCAATGGAACGTGCCGTGCCGATATGAACGGCACTTCTGGCTGTTGCACTATCAGGAGAGATAACGGGATCACTTTGGTGCCATTAGTACTGTCACATCACACTCCCCAGAGGCAAATGGCTGATTATCTACAATTATATCCCCTTATAAGGCGAATCCTATCTCCCTTTTACGAATAAGGACACAACCCCGTATGATAAATGTCCACAAAAGGATGGCGGTTGCCAAAATATAAATAGAATCATCATATGCTCTATCTCGAAATGTTTAGGTATTACGCATTATATTTAAAGTTGTATGTATGCTGAACTTCTTTCACACCATATGTTGCCATCCGTGCTTATTAGAGTCGTGAGATGCATTCACACAAAAGCACTCGCAGTGACCAATACACAGCCACTGTAGCAGTCATCGGCGGAGCTATCCGACCAGGCCACATTTGCACCCTCCTGGGGCAACTTTGTTGAGGGGGGTCATTTCTAGGGACATGTCTGCATCGACATTATAATCGTTGCCTTGACACAAAGGGTCACCTTTACACGCTCCCCATCCACGGCAGTTGTCACGCAACACCTCCACACGCCCATGCCCTTTGTTTTAACACCGAATGCAAACGCGTGAATGTAAACCTGCTCTTTCGATTCAAAGCTCTATGAGTATACAATACATACATAACAGGGGCCTTCAGACTGCCTGGAAGTCAAGAAAGCACCACCTGTCCCCGAGCAGTGCAGGCGAACGTCTGTAGCCCAGCCCTGTGGAGGCAGCAGCGAGGGTTCGTGTATCACACACAGATGTTCTGACACTCCCTTCCCGTGGGCGTCGAGGTGCCATACTCTGACCTGCTATGCGAGAGTGGTCCACCCAATGTGGACTCATCTCCATCTGTTTCCGTCTGTATGGGATAGAGTGTTGCCCCCTCGCACGCGTGGGTTTTATCCACGTGCTCCTGTGTCCTCCCACATGTATAGACACTCACGAATTGTCCGAAAACATCGTGATATATAGAGGATCGTTAAGCTTGGGCAATTATAGGCTTCGGCTCACTACCTCCTGGCTGCCTTACCGCTCTCTCTACGAAACCGAGGAGCGATTATTATTATTGTAGCAATGCACGGGTAATGAAAGTTTGTTTGTTTGATTTTAAGCCAAGAAATGCTTTCAATACTCAATTAGCTATCTTTACAAGTGCTGGTAAATTAAAATGGGAACAATGACAACAGAAAGCATAAAACTCACGTCACTAAATAGTTCACTGAACAAAACCAAACACATTACATTTCATCGTGCTTTGCACTCCAGGTGTCATTTTTAACTACAGCTATTATCCTTAAATTAAATCGAACAGGCATGTAGCTCACCCATGCACATCACAAGCCACCGTAGGTGGATATGCAGACAACACGCGTGAAACCAAGACCAAAACACACACAGCAGTGCTTAGAAAGCTTCTATTCACCTCAGCAGTCTTATCCTCTACAGCAACCCTCCCTTGCTTTTGAAGTTCTGAAATCTATCCCCAATGTTAAAATCACTTGAACTAAATACTTTGCCTCTGCAAAACCAGCTGAGCAAAAAGAAACAACGGTGGCAAGGCCATTCTCAAAGCAAAGAAAAGGCAGCCAAGTATTAAATCAGTCTATTTCCACCTATGCTTGAGCCCGAACTACATCATATATTGCACAGATAATGAGTCCCCGCAGCATAAGAGGTGGCACAGATATTTTTCAGGCTCCCACCACAGAGATAATGGAATCACTTCAGTGCCATTAGGACTGTCACATCACACTCCCCCAAGTAGGCAGCATGGAGAGGGGCAGGTTACACAGATGGGCACTGGAGTGCCACCAGCCACCGAGGGAAAGAGCTAAAGCCACACAGTGGGCTACTCCAAGAGCAGACATTGAAAGATGGGTGCAGAATGAGTAACCACGACGTGACCTGGCAGAAGCATCAGGTGTGCGGGTGTCGATGGTGCCAACGATTGAACGCCACCCACCAAGTCGCAATGTAAAGCGCACTGCGAGAAATGGAGTGTCATTGAGTTTACATTCATGCACTGTGTTGGTCGTTTTCTGGACATATAACAATTCACCGTCCCCTCCCAACATGTGACAATTTAATGCTATAATTGATGTTTTTTAAATACACATGTAACGTCTCATGTGTATTATGTGCTTTGTACATTCCATCATGCTGTCTCATTAATTATATTTGGCCTCATGTAACATTTCCATGCAATGTGAACACACTAAACACGATCAATTCTTGCGTACACAATTCTGCCCAAGTATCATGACCATAAGAATCTATTTTCATCAATGACTTGTTACATGGATTGGTGCTGAGCATGGGAGAATAGGAGATGGGATGCATCCAACAATTGGCTTGGCTCTTGCTCAAAAGCTCTTACATCACAGGGGCTGCTGCATTTTAAATTAACATGTATTCAAAGCTATTCACATTTTTGTAAATCTTATAATTTAGCACGGAGGTTATTCATGGCCTACTCGTAATCCGAGTGTGGTGTACTGGGTTAGAGTGGTGTACTGGGTTAGAGTGGTGTACTGGGTTAGAGTGGTGTACTGAGTTAGAGTGGTGTACTGGGTTAGAGTGGTGTACTGGGTTAGAGTGGTGTACTGGGTTAGAGTGGTGTACTGGGTTAGAGTGGTGTACTGGGTTAGAGTGGTGTACTGGGTTAGAGTGGTGTACTGGGTTAGACTGCATGTTGAGCATTTATCCTCTCAAGCCTTTGCCACGCACTCCTGTGGGCATTTTCAGACACGTGGCCTGACCTGTGCATATCTGAAGATGTCCACAGACGTGGATGGCCAAAGCTTGAGAGATGAAATTCTTAATACGTGGCCTAACCCAACAGTTCACTCACTCATGTATCTCTAAACTTCACGTGGAATGTTGTATATTAATTATTTTATAACATTGATTAGTAATACATTTTATATATTTATTATTTTGGTATTTCCAATTTGAATCTACTGATTCGTCAGGATATGTCCTGTCGAGCATCTATGTGGAAGCTGGAAAAAGAGGCGAGAGTCCAGAGATGATTTAGAAAAAAAAATTTGGCCAAAAAAATCGAAAAGGCCTCTTGAGGTGAAAAACCAAAACCTTGCACTTCGTAACTGATGAAGTGTAAAAGCAAAAAGTGCAATCCATCATTTGAATTGACTTAAAGAAATACTTCATAAGCGTAAGAACATCATCCATTTGGAAAAATGGAGCGACTATTTTGAGAGCGCTACTGTCAATTGCCTAGAATAATATTGCCAGCTCGACTTTGACATGGCATCCTAACAATTCTGGCTTCTCTCCGGTCTAAGCTCCAGTAAAAACATCGTCGGCAGCTATTGGTGCTCACAAAGCGGTGCTAACTCTCACGCGGGCCACTGCCCCGCAGCCCGGGCCGTTCCACGACTCTCGTCCCAGAGAAACAGTTTTCTCTACGGGGCCAGCAATGATCTCAGCGTGTTGGCACAGCCCATTGTCTCCCTGTTACACTCGCCGGTTGGCATTTAAATATCCTCTGGCCCAACAAGCACTTTTTCTTGCAGAAAAAAAGATTAAACCTTTCCGGACTAAAAAAAGAAAGGGAGGGGGGGGGACGGTGGGGGGGTATTGTGGGGCCAGAGGAGTTGGCGTTGGGTTCGCGAGGACAAAGTCGTCGCAGCTCGCGGGCACGCCGAATTTCGCCTGCGTCCGAGCGTGCGGGCACGCGCAGGTGAACTCGTTTAGTCCCGCTGAGGAGTGTGCACAGGCGACGCAGGGCCCCGTTTTGCTTTTCAATACGCAACGAGAGAATACCTGACTGTTGCATATTGTTTTATTGCAGGCGAGCGATAGGTTTAAATTAATTAATGAAATCTTGTGGTACAATGAAGCGACCCGTGGCTTATTTGTGCAGGCCCGGATGGTTCGTCCAGCTGCGCTCAGCCGTGGCCTTTTCTCCTCTTGAGCAAACACGTCCTTCCTGCCGTTGCATCAACAGTTGACACAATAGACCGATGGGCTCAAGTGATTAAGAAAAAAAAATGTTTAGAAAAGGTAACAACCCTCACGCTGGACTTTACCGTATTTCTATTTGGGGTATAGAGCTCGATAACCTATACATTGCTGCCATGCATCATCTCTTTATATGTATCGCTTTAGATGTATTGCTTTCAGGTTCAAGGCCATGGTGCATTGTACATGTGGCTAAAATCAGTGTAGTTTGATGAGGAAATTATACACAATCCGGTACCGATACTGACCTGAACAGTATTCTTAATGTTCACATACTGTGTGGTATATAGTACTCCTGTCAGCGCAGGGTCAAGTGACCAACATGAGTTCGTCGAAATGGCCTTGAGCAAACAACATCAGGCACACCCATTTTTTGTTATGCACACGCGATTGTAACTGTGCATTCAGTTCCATGGTGTGTAGGTGTGAATCCATCTTCAAGGGACCTTTCATCAATTAAACCTCCACAATCGTGTTGGTGAGAAGGGGACTACACATGTCCAAGACTTAACAGAAAATATATCTTAAAAAAATGATGGATGTGCTCAAAAAATGGGCCGTGTTTGCCAAGCTGTGGCATCCAAAGAGTATGGCAGCATTAATTACCTGCTCAATCCGTCAGAAAGCAAGTTGGCCTTGACTCCAACAAAACACAAAGGGGAACGTTTTCTTGGTGGTTGCAAGGAGGTTCAATTGAAAGGGAAAGTGGGACACGGTGGATGGACAGGTAAACAACGCTCGGCTCAATTGCGTTTGTCGTTTGCTGGCATTGTGCAGGCCGGATTCAGCAGCGCCGCCGACATTGCGATGCATTCCGTGGCACAGTCATGGAAAGGTGGCGTGCTACAGAGGGACAGCTTGAAAAGACCAATTAACCCTTTGAATGGCACAAGTGGCTTAATGCCAGAGTGGCTGTAATGGTAAGCTGACAAAGCAAATTTAAGACATTCCTTTCCCATGCTAAAGAAGAGTATAATTTAATCGAGTCCACTGTCATAAGCATCAGCTGCCCATTGGTTAAAAATAATTATAGTACCTGTGAGCAAAGGGAATTTAACTTCTCATTTCTGAATTCATGCATTTTTAAAAAATATTTAAATATATATAAATTGTACGGCCAGGTTGAAAACCATTTTCATACAAGAACCTCCTTCGAAAGCTTTTGTTGTATACATGGATAATTTTAGACCGTATTTTGTAAAATTATACTTTCATAATAAATTAATTCTGAAACTGGATAAGTATACTTTTTTCACAATGACCTGTTAATCTAAAAAACACCCACAAAAACACACACTCCATTCCAAGGTGCATACACTTGTGCAATACTCACCCAATGCAGCTAATAACCTCATTTTTTAATGTATAGATGTAAGCATTAATATAATACAACTCGTATATTTATTTCTAGAAATATAACATGAATCAGCCATTCTTATATTATGCATGCACTTGCACAATATTTACCCGTAGCAGTGAATCCTACCGAGCGGTATTAAATAACATGAGGCCATTCCATGTAGCAGGTGTGCAGGCTTCTTCACTTGTGCTCATCTTACCATGTAACATTACAAGTCATGTTTCAAAAGGATTCACTTACCTGTGCTAACAAAGGAGACTCAGTGCAGATCGTGTTCTTGGGAATTCGAATCTTTCCCAATCAGCTATATGCCCCTGCATCTGCAAGCTGTTTACAGCTTTGGGCTGTACAAGACAAACTGCACTCACGTTTCAGAAGCCTTGCAGACCAAGGTCTCGATAGTTCACTACAAGGCTAAGTATTGCGAGTAAAATAAGACGAAAGACTTATAATTAACTGGACTTACATTGGCTTTACACACACGCAGATGACAAGCAAAGCTATCGATAAGGCTAACCGACATGCATTTGTGCTACATCATTCAGTGTTTTATGGAATCAACCAATATTAACATCTAAATGATTGTGCCCGGTAATTGCGGTAAAACATCGACACGGAGCACATGCGTGAAGCGTCGAATGACCTCGGGTAGAGGAAGATGCAGCTGGCTGCCTTCGGGAACGACTCTCACCTCAGAAGGCTGCTGTGACCTGGCAGCGGTCACCAGAAACGATCTTTGCGCATGAAGAGCTGTTTTTACCATCTCGGCCTGAAGACAAGAAACATGAAGAGAAACGAGATTATTTATATCTTACACTTCAAAAGTCAAGGATACGTGTCTACGTGCTGCAATGAGCATTGTAGAGCCTTAAGACAGCAGTGGAAATACCACATTCCCATGACAGACCCAGTCAGTTCACAGGAAAGCCAGTGCAGACTTCACACGGCGATACTAATTTTATCAACCCGAAAGGGATGATGAGCTCAGGCAACCTTTGAACCGGCATTTGAACTTTCAACCTTCTCGTTTGTGTACAGAGGCAGTAAAGGTGATAGCGGACGGCCATGAGGAAGTGTTCGACACCGACCGACGCCGCACTGTGTAAGATTATCTGTGTGTGTACCACACGGAGCGGCTTCATCCGCGAGTGGCATTGAAGGCAAACATCGCATTCATTCATTTAAAAAAAAACTTCAACTTTGCTCTCGTGAGGACATTAAATGAACCAGGTACCACAGTCATTTAACTTTCACACATTTGCAGTTTCACCCATTAAACACCACTCCAAACACTGCCGTCTGTGGGCACGGCTGTGTTTAAGTGCAATCAGGTGCATGAGCTTTGCACCAGGCACAGGTTTCTGTTGGTTTTTTGGTGTACAATAAGCCTGTTGCAGGCTATTGACTTGCAAAGCAAATAACTATCAATGTCAAGAAAGTCTTTAGAATTCTGCAATAGGTCAGAGGTCACTTTTAACCAAATGCCACCTCCTCCAAAAGTGAACTATGAACTATAAATAGGCTTGCCTAGGCTTGAGCGTTACAAAGTAACAACTCAACAACTGAACGCCAGTCACACATTTAGTGGGAGAAGCCGTGAAGGTAATCTCAGCCAATGGAAGAAGACACATTCAGGGTGTTTCTGAACAGGGTTACAGCGTGTTTCACTTTACACTGGAATAAACTCACAAGAAATTTAACTTGTGTGCTTTCATACAAAACAAACGCACCTGTATCGTTTTAAAAGCGATCATTGGCATTGCTTAGGTCTCCCTAGTGATCACTTCGCTCAGCGACCCACTATGACTAACCTTAAGTTCGCTACTATGAGTAATCTTAAGTCCGCAACACTTGGGCTATTACGCCACATTTTGACATGAAATAAGTCCTTCTCATTCTTGTTCATGCGGTTAATTTCTCAAGCTCACTGGAATATAATGTTTTGTTTTTTGCCGAGTTCTGTGTGTTCTATTGTTTGTTTGGCACTTTCGTTATCGATCTTTCTCTTCAACACGCCTTTTTGTCGTGTCCAAGTAACTTTTTCACCATTTGCTTTTTAATTTCATTACCACTTTAACTGCACTGTTCAGAATTTCTGCTTCGTATCAATCTAAATCTGCTAAACTCATGAAGTAGCCTTTCGATATTAACCGCCGTGTTGTCTCTAACTTACTTTGTTATCTCTTTGGCACTGCTGAAGCGTAACTTGCATCGCATCAGCCTGTGATCACTTCCTGCGTTGAAATTGCTGAGTACAGAGACGTCTCTGACGACCCGGCATGTATCCGTGGGAATAAAGGCAATCTCGTGTGTACTGTGCACTGTTCGTTTCCTTCTCTCGTACGTCTTGTCAGTAACGTCTGTCATTTGTACCGTCTGCCTCATTTAGTCTTTCTCGTTTGTAGCATCCGTTTCTTATGTTTTGTCGACCCCATTTGCATTGTGTCCTTGTCTGTACTGTCTAGCTCACATGTACTTCCCACCGTCTTTGTATCACCTATCTCGTTCACTCCGCGAGCCTAAAGATCCACGACAAAAGAACATAACTCGTAAAGAGTCGAGGCGAACATGCAGCAATCGGTGTGTGTATCAAGAACGTCAACTGCTTAGGCTGGGGTCACGATTCAAAGAGAAAGTGTGGATGCTGAGCACTTCTCTGCTTGCGCTGTAGTTGCTTCATGGTTATTATTCTGCTCGTGAGAGGGGGACGGGGGGGGGGGAGCCTGTGTATGGATGAAGAAAACAATGCTCTTGCTGTCGTGACACATCAGCATCGCAGGACGCGTCTGCATTAGCATCACTACTTGATCCACTTCTGTTTGTTGCATGAGAATGGAACTGCAGTCTGAATTCATGAGCTCTCGTTCCGTATATATGAAAAACTTATTTTGCACCGTATGTAGCCAACCGTGCTCATCGTCGATGCCACTGATCAGGTGGTCATGATTCATATTCTTTGGGTCTTTCGGTAAAGTCACGTAGATAGATCAATAAAATAATAAAAATGAAAATAAAGTTAATACAAATGTTTTTATTCACTTTATTTTCATTTTTATTTTATTGTTCTATGTGACTTTACCGAAAGACCCAAAGAATATGAATTCCTGCAGTCACGAAAGCTTTAAGTCAAGAGGTGGTCAAGAGTTTAATCCTGACCCTGACGCTTGCATATTTGCTGTTTGCACGCCTGTTTCCCCGTGGTCGCGTGGATTTGCCTCCGAGTCATCTGGTGTTTTCCCCTCCACAATTATAATCAACGTGCGCTTCGATTATTTGGCTGCTATAAATTTCCACATGATAAGCCACTTCGTTGAGCTATTATTGTGGCCAGGTCGCCGCTGAAAAATATCTAATAGCTCAGTGGGCATCGTGTTAGGTTCATAGGGTCGGGCGAGCGTCGATTCAAGGCCCGGCCCTGACCCCGTGGCTCTGTGAATCTGAGCGGTGGCTGATCTTTTCTTTTCGCTGCTGCTGCTGCCGACAAGTGCGTCACGAGGCCAACTCCTCTCCATGCTGCGTGGGCGTCGCCTTACATAGCCATGCTCGGCGCACGCCATCCCTGGGCAAGATCAGCCGGTCCACCGACGTTTTCTCTTCACTCTCTCCCACGAGAGCAGCTACGACGAGGCGTTTTGTCTTCGTTTTCAATTAACAACGGTAATTACAGTGATGCTGCTGCTGATAAGAGACGTTCCCTGTTACATCTAACAGAAATCTAACCGCTCACGCTTAGCAGTGACGAGGCTGCAGTGAGGGCTCGTGGCTGCATCGTTGCCTGAGAGGCGTTATTGCACCAACACTCCACATCTCCCACCGATCTTGTTTTTACTCCTAATGAGCTGAACACGAATGTTCTATGTAAAGCAATTCTTACATGGGTCACATTAACCAACTCATTCACCATACCTACGGCTAAACTCTACATTTTTAATTAAGGTAATCAAGGTACTGTGACTACCTTGTAATGCATCCTACCTTGATCAGATTAGGTTTATTGTCACTATGCAGAGAACCAACTGGGAATATTTATGTCTTTGTGATACTGTAACAGGCAATATAGTGATCACATTTCAAAATCCAGTTTGATTGTTCTGCTAGTTTAAGGCATTAGATCACTCGCAAACGTATATAAACAACTTTATTCAGTGTCTCCATCTTTCAGTGTTCCTGAAATCAATCTATGGGCATCCTCCAGGAATGTCCCTCCAAGTCATGTGGATAGAATTAAGCAACCCGCCTAAAAGCAAATTAGCAGAGATGTCACGATTCCCCACCCCACCACTGCCACTTGATGAATAGTCAGGATTCATGGTCACTTACAATTGATGCATCGATTATTTTTTGTCTCTTTCACTTCATTCAGCCATTAAAGGTGCCAGTTCCATTTAATGTACCTATAACTTACATGAATTGGAAATAAATCAATTCATAGACACAAATCTGATGCATGTATTGCGAGTGAAAAAAGATGAATTTTTTTAATCGAGGAATCAATGTAACGTTACATAGTTATTACCAAAAAAAACTGATAAAAGTCAATTGGTAAAAGTGGAAAAATTATGTTTATATGATGTAATGTTTGGCACCACCGCATCAGTGGAACCCATGCCCAACCGCTGCTACACGTTCAGTCAGTTACCGTGGAGGATCAGCTGATTGTATCCAGGTATCAGAACACACATTTTCCATGCATATGATCGCGGCACAAAACACTTGCTGACCCAGCAGTGCGCGGATTAATTTACAAAGCAAGTTGTTAGTCAGCAGCAGGGATACACCGCGGGGCGGGGTCGAGTCACAACGATGATTCAATGGGGCATAAACAATAGATGTAACTTTTGTTATTCAAGCAGTAATCTTGTAATGACCTAAATAAACCTAAAAATAAATCAAACAAATGCACATGAACGATTTACACTGACCTCACTTTTAACTATGGACGTGTGGACTAGTTACGTGGGAAATGGAAAGTTTTCGCATGAACATTAACCATCAATATCGCACAGCATTTTTTACAATTGCATTACAATCGTGAATATTGCATCAAATTTTACTTTCAACGCGTCGTAGGAGGCTCGTCTAAAATTCCCCAAAAAACACAATTGTGTCCTCCAAACATAAATACTTTACTGTGACCAAAGTCTCAACAAATAATAGATGCGGTTGTGGAAAGTCAATGAAACGTCCGCTGGTCGGCTGTGTGTGGGTTTTAATGTCCTCAAGCACTTCGCACGTTTTTTCCCAAAATGCTTTTACATTTACGATAATGAAAAACATGACAAAAACACAACATCGAGATAAGGTACCCCGTGTCCCCTTGGCAACTGCTCACTTCACGGCTAAATATGGCTTTGGAGCAGCACTCGGGAGGAGCACCCATACATGGCTAAGGCAGTCACCACCACTGACGGCTGGCAATATCTCTCTCTCTGATCGGGGCCCGAATACTTTACAGGCGCCAAGGAAAGAGGAGGGGTGCACTGCACTAAGGAGGAATGGGCTTAAGGAAAGAGGGAGACTGGAGGCAACGTGTTGGAATACTCCAGGAATATTTACCGAAAGCCCTTCCAGACACCAGCTGTTCACAAAGTAACCGCTGTTGGCCTTGTGACAAATCCAGTGGAACATTCGTGCCGAGGGTCTCCACCAGTATTATGTCTCATTATTAATTAAAATGCAACAGCTTGATTTGGAGATTGGGACATTTTAACCAAGTAACTTTAAATATCCCTGCAGTGTCACAAAAATATATATAATCAACGTACCCAT